AAAAATTACAAAAAAAATTGCCCGCCAAATTTGGCTTTTTTTTTATTTTCCCACCAATGCCCCTTTCCCCCCCCCCCCCCCCCCCATTTTCTGTACTGCTCATTAAGTGCTACGATACTGCCTAAGTATCATGTGCTTTCATCGTGCAACACCATTCAATACTAAATAATACAGCCATTAAGGGGCCTATCATACACACAATATGCCTCTGGGGAACAATCTTGGGAACAATAGGTTATTGCTTTGTTTATATTCCTGGTTTCTTGCCTTTGATAAAAAAATAATAATAATAAAGCGAGATCAACGCCATCTGGTGAAGGTTGAAACAAAATGCCTTAAAGGCAAAACATGCCTATTTTCTCTTGGAATGAATTATACTGGCTTCACATGAGAGGACTGCAAATCCTATTTCGCTAACAGTAATACTGTACATACCATAAACTAAAAAAACTGATACTAAGTATGTTTAGTTTCTTCAAAAATGTTTTTTTTTTCTAAACGTAACATAGGAGAAAAAGAAAGGGCTATCACACTAACAAAGGAATGGAGACTTACCAAAAAGTCAAATATATTGATGGTTTTATCTAGGGCTTAACATAACCCCATTTTCAGGCACTTATATAATTACCCTGTGGGCAATTCATTTCAGGGGGAAGAAGGGGTGACAGTGAATGTGGAGAGACAGGGATGTGGAGAACACTAAAATACCAATAGATAATATCCGCAAAAAAGGTCAGCGAGGCAATTTCTGATCAGATTTGCCCCATAAGTGAAATACAAGTGATCTACTAGCAAGTCCCTTGTGTTCATGGCCAAGTACCACTAAAAATTCTGGTTGCCTAAGTGCAGAAATCACTTGCACCAGGCAAGTTAGGTCAATGGGTATGTCAAGCCTGGTAATCCATTAACAGAAACATAGACTGGGTTCCCACAAATTTAGATCAATCCAACGTAACTCCCTGGGGGTTCACAGTAAATTGCTGACAGCTTCAGGGAGCCAAGCGCGCACTAAAGTTAATTACCCCCTTACAGCTTTTAGCCGACTAAGCTGACAGCAATCTAGTGAGACTCTCCAGGGGGATAGATCGATCTAAATATATGTGGGAATGGTCTCATAGAGACTTACCATAAAGTCAAATATACTGATGCCCAGCATCTGGAAGCTCAGACACATGTGTCCATGGTAGTCGAAGTAGTCAAAGAATTTCACACATAAGCTGAAATAAACAGGAAGATCAGATTTAAGAATTCTCATTTTTTATGTGTAAAGAAAAAGGGTCACTCCGATAACACTGTCACACCTGATGCACTTTCAGAGCCAAAAAAACATCTAATTCAGCTATGTCACAGCTAATATACAGTCATGTTTCACACAATGTTAAACCTTGCCACGCCTCGCACATCTTACACAATTTCCTAAATATCCAATTTACCAAACAATATCCAATCTAACACGTCTTATTAAGCACTACACTATTTCACATCCAACACAATGTCACATCCAACACAATGTCACATCCAACACAATGTCACATCCAACACAATGTCACATCTAACACAATGTTACAACCAACACAATGTCACATCCGACACAATATCACACCTAACACAATATCACACTCGGAATGATAAATCAACTTACAATGTCCCCTCAGGGTCTTTACTGTGCATGAATTCTAGGACATTAATCTCAAGTTTGGCCGCTTCTCGGTACTTCTCTACATTTTTAATAATTTTTAGGGCAGCAACCTCATTGTCTCTGAAAAAAGGGAGAAGGAAAATTATCTTAATTGACTCTAAAAGAAGATCAAATAGATGAAAATTATCCTTACAGCTTCTGAAATGGGATGGTGAAAATTATCCTTCCTGTTTTTTTAAAACGTGAGAAAATTAAAATAATACTACTTGTTTTTAAAAGACAAGAAAAAAATATGAAATTAAGCCTTACTGTAACTGAAAAAGAAGAGGGAGAATTGTGCTTAGTGTCTTTGGAAAATGAGGGAAAACAAAAATTATCCTCATTATTTCTAAAATTGAGTGGGGAATGAAAATAATTGTCTTGGAAGGAACAGAAAAGGGAGCGTTTTTAATCCACATGTTACATCTTTCAGTTTAACACTTTTGTGAAACAACCTCTGTTTTTATTCATATTTCTCTTTCGAGCCCCCCCCTCCCCCCCCCCCCCCACTGGGACAATAGTATGTACCTTCAGTGTGTAACATATTGAACATGCTCGGGTTCCGTTTTTATATCGGTTTGCTGCTTTCATGTATATAAATATAATATATAAATACACCACACCTGTCACTGAGACTCATACTTGTGATTTACACAGATTGTGTGTTTCAGGTAGGAGTATCAGATGTTTGGGTTTGACAGGACACCTGATGTTCCTCCCCCACCCACGACTCAAGGTGATAAAAGAAACGGATAAAAATACAGCCAGGATTTATGCGCCATTCATGCAGAGTGCACCTGTCAAACATCTTCATCTTGATCGTGAAAAGTTTCACAATACCGCGTTGGAGTTTAATTTATAGGACTCTGCACTGATGAGCACAATGTAGACCCAATACTCAGAGCGGGATGCATTTTTTTTTTCATTGATTGGCAATTGATTGGAAATGGAAGTAAGGAAGTCGCACTGAGACTGTATTGATTTTCTTAGCTTCTTCTAGGCTTTCTGCTAGGGGGATTTTTTTCTTCTTCCCTGGTTGTAAATCTGTTGGAAATAGAAGCATGGGGGTTATTTTGGTCTTTTTTGTTTATTCTATGCTTTTTATTGTAAAAAAACGTTAACTTTTTCCTGATTAAAAAAGATATTTAAGATCTGTAATCAAAACAGTTTCCCCGCCTGTACTAATAACACTTAATATTTAAATCTGTTTCTTTGATATCTATTTCGATGACAAAATCAAATGCAGTTTTTCTTGTCTAAAACACTTATTCATTCCTGGTTCTTTGATATCTGATTTTTGAAATCTATTCTGGTGACAAAATCAAATGCAGTTTTTCATGTCTACAATAATGACTCAGCCCTTCATGCTGCCATTCATGTATTTAAGTTTAGTTTTTTTCCCTCCAAAATTCCAAACCATTTGAAAAGACAGATGGCACATTTGGCATCAAAATTCTATTTTTTTTAAAATTAAAACCCAAATTATGATAATTGTATTTTTATTTTTGCTTTCAGGATCATTGATAATAATAATAATAAAAATCAAGGAGAATTTTCTCAGATCAGTCATTCCCTAAAAAGAATAAAAATATTTACACGTTTTATCTTGTTCAAATATTAATTATGTGCTTTGTGCTGTTTAAAGTCCATCAGAGTTAAATGTCAAGGGTTGAGGAAAACGGGTTAATTGATGTTTTAACTTCACATGAAAAACAGATGTCTTGCTGGATAGGGTTGGATATGGAAATTATTTTTCAAACAATACTTTTTTGAATATTTTGCCTTTTACAGTTTTACCATGTTCAGACACAAAGGACGATATACTTTTCTGAAACATTACTAAAATCTTATAATTTTTAAATCAACACTTGTAAGTATTACTAACAAAGTAGTTCTGGGGAAATTTTTTACTCATGTTGGACAAATTTACTGAATAATTATTGCATGGCTTCACCTTACAAACAATTGCGTAATTTTTTGGCTTCACCTACGACATTTCCCTAGTAGCAACCAGAATCCATATCCATGAATATTCAGGTAACTATGGTGACTGTTTCCATGACAGTTTGTGCTCAAAATTCAGAAAATACAACAAAGGCCAAGCTCATTTTAGGCATCTGTGATATCCTTAGCCCTTTGCACTGTAGAAATGAGCATTATACTTAAATGTAACAAAATTTTTATTTTTTCTGGTATATCCAACTCTTTTCCCTTAATCACCAAGATAAATGATGCTGTTGCCCAAATCACAACATGTAACCTTCTAAATATTAAGTTATACAGGTAAATCCTACAAAATCAAATATCTGAATCATGAAAACATGTTTATATATATATTTCATTTTTGCCAGATTTTGTTAAGATATACCCTGGAGATAATGGGAAATCTCCGAGGGGTTTCTTGCTAAATTGCTTTCAGCTAAGCAGCTTAGATATCTGTCACGCCTACTAAAGCTGCTAAACGATAATTACCCCCTAGCAGCTTCAGTAGGTGTGACAGACACCTAAGCCGCTTTAGTTGATTGCAATTTAGCAAGAATCCCCTCAGAGATAGATCGATCCACAGTTAGTATGATAGGGTCTGGGAATGGTCCCTTAGTTGACTAGGATTTCCATGAGAGTGCTGTTACACTGCTTCTGATAAGATAAGCTAGGACCATATAACCCTTGTTATTAAGTTCTTAGCCAGGGAATGTGACTAAGTTGTTTTTTTTCCCTGAGAATGGTCCCTAAGTCATCATGAACAACACACAGAATAGAATCACTACTTACTTTTGTAAATCTTTCACCTCCACCACTTTCCCAAAGGTCCCCTCCCCCAGGGTGCGTACGATTTCATCTGCAATGAAGAATATTTTCACACAGTTAGATCTGCACAGGAATGGCCTTTGACTCCCAGGGCGTGCACCCTCCTCTCCCAGCAACTCTTGTCAATCAAGTTGATTGACACTTGGGTTGCCAGAGAAACAGGCCACACCCCAGGGATGGGAGGATAAGCTATATAGCGAGAGCCAGAGAGGCAGCTTGAAGTGTTTTTTTTTTTGTTACTGCTTTATAACAGACTTCCAAAAGCGTAATTTCTTAACAACTGTGTAGTCACTTCACTGTTTTTTTTTTTTCAAAATACTACAACCTCTTTTTCAGCTATAAATTATCCTATTTCTTTGAAGTTGTAAATTGAGTAATGAATGTTTTCCTCAAATCCCGCACAAGTCTAGATTTTCTTATCACCAAAAATAAACAGCACCTGTTCCATTTTTAGAAAGGTCAAATATGCATGAACATGTGTTGTTGCTATGGTTACTCTGCCTCTCTGGCTTATCTACCATTTTGAATCAATCAGTGTTTCCATGACAACTAGTTACCATGGTGACATATTCTTCTGTATTTCATTACCATTAAGCAGCACATGGCTCAAAGGCAAAAATATATCACTTGGGGCCTTTTCAATTTCTCAAAGAAATCTGCAGCTGCCAAAGTAAACAGCAGCTTTTACCTTTAACATAAACTACCTTCAAGTTCAATTAAGAGGGAAAAAAAGACTGAAAACTGGATAAAAATTTTCATATGGACACCATTCACTTAAGGTGTGCCTCAAAGAAAATGGCGTAGAGTAAAATGGAATACTTTAAAACTTCAATAGAAAGTTTGAGCTGAGGCCATATATAAAATGGATCAGAATGTGTATATAATATGTTACTTTGACCATCATTAAAAACATAAGATGATACGGCCAAAAATAATACTGAAATAGAGAGTTAAGGGAGGGTATGATATTTGATGATATGTATTTTATAAAAAATATGGGATTATGGTATAACATTACGAAAGTGCTGAGTACATCGTGCTTGTAGTACGTCCCCTTCCTTGTAGATCAGGTGGCCTTCGGAATCGTCCTCCACACTTGGTGCACGTTCGCTGTGTTCGCGTCGACTCTGTTCACACGAAACGTAGCCACAACACCAGCCACACCCCACCAGACGACATGCAGTAGAAGTTGTCGTTGTTGTCGTAGTTGTTGTTTTGGCGGCACCATGGACCACACCAGTTGTTGTTATTGTTGTCGTGGGCACCGTTGTCGTAGCAGCAGCAGGGCGTTCAGTTGTCATGGAGATGAAGCAGCACCATGTGTAGCAGTTGTCATGGCAGCAGCAGCAGAGCACGACGAGTTGTCATGACGATGAGGGCGACAGCGTCATTATTTTCACAGCACGACACACCCCAGGTGGACGAGAGGTTCACAGGTTTTTGAAATAATTATAGAAGGACATCTCCAAATGAGGAGGAGTTCAACGATATCATCATCATATCATCAATGACATCATCATTACATCATAATCATCATCATCATCATCATCATCACGATCAATGTCAGTGGTTATCAAATTGAAATATTAACCCTCCACAGACCAGAGCTGAAATATTCCAAGGTTCACTGATATGAACTTGAGAATAGCCCAGCAATGTCTGGGAGATAAAAGGTTAATTTTGGTTTTCTTTTTTTGAAAATAACTGATTTTTTTTCGTGACAGCTGAGAGGCATTTACACTTGACTGTGAAATTATAACTGGATTCAAGACCACTTTATATATATATATATATCAAAATTTTTCTTTTAAAAATCTTATTTGCAAATAGAGCGACAGAAAGGCAATGCAAGAAAATTGCAGTACAGTTCTACCAGCAAGCAATAATAAATTATACTGCATGCACTATAATAACTACCTCCATGCTCATTTTCATGGTGATTTGAATAAGTTTGTGTTCTTATGGTGATTCCGTGTGTATGTGCTTGTGCATGTGTGCGAGCATGTTTGTGTGTGTTTGTGTAAGAGAGACACAGAGAGAAGGAGAGAGAGAAAGAGTGGAATTAAAAGCTACTAAGCCCTACACCTCAACCCTCTGACTAACGACACACCCAACAGCGAGTTTCCAAGGTACTTAACACGAAAGTCTGCACCTGTATCTGGTGAGGTACTTCTCCACAGTAACACTAACCATTCACACCCATCAGACAGTATCTACCTCAACCTCTACCTGGAAATCTCAGAGGAAGGATTTTTATTAAATCATACAAAGGAATGAGGTTTACGGTCTTAAACAAACTCTAAATCACTTCTCTTGTTCTTGTTAACAGTTCTATAGAAGTGGATGCAGTTTGATTTCAATTTTTTCCTACTAAAACTTTCATAACATTTCTTACTATACAACATGCTAATTCAGAGTTCAATATGCATACGCTTATTTCCAATGTCTATTTTATTGTTCTTTTTTTAAAAAACCCTTTGCTTAAAGCTAAAGATCACTTTAATCTCTCCTAACTAGAACTTTTTTTTTTCAATTTTTGGAAACTGGGAAAATGATAACAACAAAAAGTATAAATATTTGGTGCTCTTCATTTTGTTTACAAAAATCCTTCTTCAGGCCTCTAAAAGGATGAGTCAGACAGACTGAGTTACAGTTCCAAGGTGACCTAGGTGAATGGATTCCAGATTCCAGAAGGTATGCCCTGAAAATTTCAAGGAAAATTATGTTCTCCAAAAACCTCTCTCCTCTCAGCTTTCACCTTCCGCTTTTCCCTGAATCTGATTTTCTTCAGCCAAACTAAAGTCACTTTGAGGTAATGAAAGGCAATAGAATACAGCCACTAGTACATTGGTATAAACGTCCTACAATTACTCTACCAAAATTCTATCTACCTTACTAAGACTAGTACTGTTTCAGCTTATAAACACTCATAGTTGTTCGACATTTATATATAATATGGTTATATCTTGATCTTTTCAAAAATAATCAATCTTTCAAATACATAATTTTGGAATCATTAAAATTGTATTTCTATATAGCATTTGTGGTGTTTTTACTGTACAGAGTAAATACAGGGTAGCCAGCTTTTTGAATTTGTTGCTACTATTCAATGGGAATGTTGAAACTAAATTATGCCCATTGAAAAGATGGCTGCATTATCGTAACATTGGGGGGGGGGGGGGGGGGGATCCTTCAGCTACTGCTTTATAAGCCATAAATAATGTTCATATATCTAATATCAACTCCCGCAGCTCACCTCTCTCTTTTTTATCGTTTTTCAGATTTATTATCGATTTTTAGCGAGTAACTGAGGACACAAGGCTCATTTCAAAAACATTTTGTTTATTTTGAAAGCTGCTTCATAAATCAGATTATATGCCTGGAAAACAGCTTAGTGATAATTATTTTTTGCCTTATTAGCTGGTCAGCACTATTGAAAACATAAGTTTATACCTGGAGTGAAGCCAATTCCTGTGATAAATAGAATGCCACAGGACAGAGAGAGAGAGAGAGAAAGAGAGAAAGAAGAGAAGTGACAGAGAGAGAAAGAGAGAGAGGTGAAGGAGAGAGACGACGACAGGGGAGAGAGAGAGAGAGAGAGAGAAGAGAAGTGAGAGAGAGAAAGAGAGATAAAACCAATCTCCATACATCAATCAGCAAGCCCATTCTGAGTCAGCCACAGCATATATGAATCCACCTCTAATTCCTTTCCCTGTCTGCCCACTGTTTTTAGCAAGTAGAATACAATGATAATGGTGACCCCCGGGAGATGGGGCATTGCAGCAGTCTCTAATCAACACATTATCTGTTTGTGTGTCTGTCTCTGAACTTTTTCTTCTGGCTCTCAGTCCTGATGGAAAATAAATCAAGTCAGCCTCAATAGGTCATCATGTTCTTTGTACTTATATTCACTCCTTTTCTCTGATGCTCTCTCATCAACTCTTTCTCTCTCTCTCACACACATTCTCTCTCTTTCTCACACACACACACACACACATATATACACACTCTTTCACTTACACACACACACATTTACTCACTCTCTTTCTTGCTCACACACACACACACTCTCTCTCTCTCACACACATACAAATGCACACACACAAAACCTATGCACCAGATAACCGATTTGCACAATGCATTCTACAGAACCTGAAGCCTCTGTCCAGTTCATGCTTGCATACAGATAAAATCAATTACGTATCATTTCACAGGGGAAATTGATCCATGGTGAATCATAAGATCAAACCTTGGCTTGTAAGGCACGTCTTCTAGAAATCTGTCCACTCTTTACACAAAATAAACCCTGTAAATCCAGGGTACATCCTTTAGAAAACACAAAATCAAACCTAGACTCGCACCTTCTCAAAATCTTTACCTCACACACTAACATATCAGTGATCACAAAATTAAACCTTCATCCACAGGGTACCATCCCCTGCGAAAATTTGTCTCATTTAATGCTCACCTACTGTTCTCAATCTGTCCTAGAACATTTTGTTTTTCTCTTTTCATGAAAATGTTCTCAATCTGTTCTAATACATACTGAAAGACTTCCCAAAAACAGTTCTCAAACTGTTACATTCATTCATTACAGAACAACATTTGAACTGTAAAAAAATACACCTAATGTTCTAGAAAAGATTGAGAACCGTAAGTGAACATTAAAGAGACAAATTTTCGCAGGGGCTGAGTATTACAATGAATCAGCAGACCTAAGCTAGGATTTACAAAATTCACCGAATTTCAAAATTCACAAGAATGACCCAAATGACCCTGAAAAAGTCGTAATTCCGACAAAAGTTGGAAAAGTCTGATCAGCGTATAATATATTAATGATCACAAAATAAACCTTCATCTACAGGGTACTCTATCATGAAGAAGCAGCAGACCTAAGCTTGGATTTCCAGGGTACACCAACTCCAGAAATTTGAACAGTGAGAACAGCTGCTGGCACCACATAGGTCACAACATTGCAGAAGATTGCTGATTACTGAGAGCAAATTACCAGGAGCCAAGCTTGAGCTCTCGGAGTAGATGGGATTCTTGAGGCTTGTTTCATGAAATAATTCCAGCCCTAAAATTGGTCATAAGTTGTAGACTCCAAAAATTTAGTTTCCTACAGTTTGAGATTAATCTATAGCAGTCCACAAAAATAAAGTGAGTACTGGTTGTATTGGTCTGTAACAAATGCAAATAAATTTTCTTGTAAAACAGACGCAATATTTGAAATGAGTGGATTAAGACCGATTTATCCTGGGATAAAGAAAACTAACATTTTTGTCTAAAGTAAAGACCAATATTTGGGCTAAAGCTAATTTCTAAGCCCCCCCCGGCATCTTTTTCACCCCTTACTATACTACTTAATTAACATGCATTCCAATATAGACCTCATTTACAACTCAATGAATATCATTCAGACAAAATTTACATTTTGCCTAGAACTCCAAGACAGTAAATCAAAGTAACGATCCAGAAATGATCTTTGCTCTGACTCTTCTTCATCTTGAGGTCATATTTTCATGCAAAGATGGCCGCCAGGCATGGACTGATCTTTCCTCAGAAATCCAGACTGTCTTTAAACCATGGTTTAACTTCTCTCTCTATAGATAAAGAAACCACACTTTATTTCAGTGAAAGTTCAGCTGTGTCCTCCAGGCTTCAGTCATCTGCTTTTTTATTGACACTAGAGTCACTACTTTAAATGGTCAATTGCCCCAGTTTTTCTGGCATTATACTTTTTCAAGATTTATCATTTTCAGATAACATTCTTGAATTTTCCAGAAAAAATTCTTTCAAATGCCTTGAATACACTAAGTTGGCTATCCATAATCCATTGACCACCATATTTTTTCTGCAGTTGAAATGAATCACTAAAAGGAAATGGGATTTATATGCTCAAATTAGTGATCAATTTTCCCCAATGGCTAGTCACTATCTAACATCCATATTAAAGCTAATGATGATAAATTACACACAAGCCCAACACTTTACCATATCAATATGCATTGAGGTGATTTTCAAGGATAATATCAGAAAGCATGCCTAAATGATGGGCACTGAAAAGGCAAAGGCAGATATCTCTTTATGTATATCAATATCTATATAACTGCACAATAAAAATGTA